TACCAACCTCAGAAGGTAGAGAAAGAAGACCCCGAGATCGTAATCCGAATCCTGAACCTCTCGGTTCTCAGTCTGACATTCTACCAACAAACTAACCCCGGTCCGAAGCAGCGCGTGATAAATTTCTGACTCAAAGGAATTCGTGATAGAGACAAAGGTCGCCCACCGCGAGAATAGAATTCGAACCCTCCGGAGTTCGACTTCAGAGCTGAACTCTTGCGCGCTCTCTCTCTCTCAATGCATATGGTTAACGAATGAATTAAATAATTAATTGAATGACTGAAAAGTCGAATCTATGGAGAGATGGCTTAATTTACAAAATGTGGCTCACGCTTCATACAGCGGCCACATTTAAGTACGATACTGTTCCCATTATTCGCGAATCAGTGATTTGCTGCCCGCTGGCTGCCCTGAAACACAACTGACTGCTATCCCTGTTCAAGGCCATTGGCAATTTCATAGAGCAATCTTTCGCCGCTCATGAGACCAACCACATCACGCTCAGTGAGAGGTAACTATAACGCTAGTAACTGGTAGTTAAGTAACACGGCGATCCACTGCGCTCTGGGTCAGGGAGCGAGTGAGAGTGAAAGTTTTGCAAAGTTTGATCGACCTGCTTCTAGTGGCTAAGCCGATGACTCATTTACTCAGTTATTGTTCAGGTTAATGTTCACTTATTGTCTACCACGAAAGCACTGACAATGTAGAATCACAATCAGCAAGTGTACTGCCTGTGGAATCAACGGTATTCCACATTTCCATAGTTTCGCCGTTTGTCGTTACAAGTACAGGTTATGTACAAACTTCCTGCTGAACTTGCTTTTGTTGTATTTTCCGTGTCGTTCATCACGCCAAAGAGAGCCACTGATCGTCGCCACTAGGAGAGAGTCAAACGTTCATGTGCTTGTAGTCTTAAATGACTAGAAACCCAGCGAAATATTTGCAGAATAGGAAGATTAGCCATTCAAGGAGAAGAAGAAGAAGTTCGCGAAGAAAAAGAAATGATGGATTAAGAGAGTGGAGAAAGGAAAGAAAAACAAGCATGTGATAAATGAGATTTGTACACGCTCTGAGGTCAAGGGCATATGAATGTATGTATTTATAAAATTACATCTGTTTTTCGTTGAGCAAGTTGCAAATTACTTATCAAAAAATGGAGGTTTTCATTGGTGCCCTAGAAGACGTTTTGAGTTCTGCTCAACGCACATGAATTATTGGTCCTCGTCAGATATGTCTAACGTTGCGAGCTGCTGTGTTCAGGGGCAGTCGATCGTTATTCGCATCTTTTCTTGATCTTTCAGGACGAATCGAACGTTGCTAGTCATTAATTGAGGTACGAAGTAGTTCGACAACTGACATTAATCAACTTCGATGGCAGATGAGGCAGTCGATGCGCTGTTGGCAGCTCTCGTTAGGTTATTAATTATTTGCTGGCCGTCTCTCAGAAGTTTGGCTGTCGTGTTGTATGGTGCTACACAGAGGCAAAAGTAAAGACTTGCTTCGCACTCAGGCGAGGAGGCGAAGCGTGCAAAGTTTGTTCGTTCCGCGACCCATGAGGATTGTACTCCATAATGAGATCACTCGGTCGAACACGCTCTGGAAGTAGGCGGTTTTCGGCCAACTTCAATGTTGGTTTCGATGAACGAAATTCGATCGGTCGATACGTCCGGCTCATTCGTAGATGCAATGCGTTCCCTCTTCGATTAACACAGTCCAACTGGTAGTTGTTTGTTCGAGGAACACCTCGAGGTTG